AGAGTCAGATAGAATCTATAGTACTTACCAAAGTACGTCTGATATGTTCCATTCTCCCATCAGGATTTCTGAACTCTATTATAACCTTATGGGACCACGGAAGTATATGCAATCGGACGTTGTCCAAACGGATGTTATGTGGTACATACCTATATATAATAAAATATTTGCCATTTCAACCATTTTTACATGTACAATTCAGTGACATTAATTACATTCACCATGCTGTGAAACCAACAACACTAAATATGTGTTTCCAAATTTTTTCATCACCTCCAGCAGAAACTGTACCCATTAAACAATAACTCCCCATTCCCCCTTCCCCAGCCCATGGTAATAACTTCATAAACTTCAGTCTCTATACATTTGCCTATTCTAGATATTTCATGTAAGTGGGATCATACAATATTTGTCACTTTGCATCTGATTTATTTCTTTCTGCGTAATGTTTTCAAGGTTCATCTGTGTCATAGCATGTGTCGGGACTTCATTTGTCTTTATGGCTGAGTAATATTTCATTGTACATAAATACCGTTTTGTTTCTCTGTTGATGGACATTTAGGTTGTGTCCACCTTTTGGCTGTTGTGAATGGTGCTGCAAAGAACATTGGTGTACAAGTATATGTTCGAGTTCCTGCTTTCAAGTCTCAGGAGTGGGGTTGGTGGGTCATATGATAATTCTATGTTTACCTTTCTGAAAAACTGCCAGACTATTTTCCACAGCAGCTTGCATCCATCCTTTACCAAGTTGTTGTTGTGTGCCATCCAGTTGACTTTCTCTCATAGCAACTCACGTGACAAAGTAGAACTGCCACATAGGATTTTCTAGGCTGTAATTTTTATGGGGGCAGATTGCCTGGTCCTTCTCCTGTGGAGCCACTGGGTGGATTCAAACTACCAAGCTTTCATCTAGCAGCAGAGCGCTTAACCATTGCACCACTGGGGCTCCTTTTACCAAGTAGGAAAGTAGTAAATGTTAGAGCTTTCATGCAAATATGTGTTTAGGTACTGCAGGCAGAGAATATATGTTTTTTGTTTTTTTTTTAAGTACTGTCTCCTTTAGAAGTAAAAACAATGTTGGATGAACGTTTCTCAGATGAGAGCGCAGTGCTCAAGGCCTCTGGGATGTTAGAGGAAAAGATACTTTCTGTGACTAATCATCTTGGAGTACTTGGAGTCAACGGTGGGGACCGGCAGAGCCTCCCATGTGTTGTACTGTCCCTGATAACTGCCAGATACTGTGTGTGTCCTTGGCTTTCGGTGGATTCCACTTGGACTTTTGGCTTTCTCCTTTGGCATTTGGTGACCTAAGGAGCCTTCCTGTGCCTTGGTCAGGAAAAGAAGTAGTTTACGGAGAGGTTCAGCGCTGTCTTTGGTACAGATATCTCTTATGGAAAGGAATTTGACCCTGAGGATGAACTCTTAGCAAAAAGGAAACCACTTTGTGGTGTTTTGTAGTGTAAGTAAAGGGTGTGTAAATAAATGGATATTTAGATAATTTCAGATGGCAAGGGGGCAGCCTTTCAAGCAACCCAATAGAAAGCATACATGGTTGGTCCGCAAGCTAGTTTAGTGCCTGGCCATGTTTTGGGATCCTGCTGGTCACTGTGGGAGCAGAAGAAAGATTCCACTGTGTGCGTGAGAGGGGGTGTTGCCACTTTGCAATTCTGATGCCATTTTGCATCTAACTGCCTGGGAGCCTATTCTTGCTGCCAATACTTTTTTTGTGGCTGGAGTGTGCAGCTGGTGGCTGACATCAGAACTTTAATCACATTTTTGTTTGACATGTTTATTTTTGTTAAGCGTTTTATTATTTTATTTTTATGAGCTCAGAATTGCAGACATCCAAAGAATCTGCTCCTTGACTCAGTTTCTAGCTGGAGTAAACAAAAGACTATTGACTTGGCACCAAGTTGGGGAGAGATCACAGTGTGACCCCCTCTCAGTCTGTGACCCTCTGGAATTTCAGCTAATTTAGGCTCCAGCCCCTGGAGACTGGGCTGTTTCACCCGGCTCTGGGCTCTCTACACCCACTTCACCTCCCAAAGCCAGAAGCGTCATTATTTTAATCCTTGTAGATTTCAAAGGGACTCAAGTTGCAAAGTTACTATTTAGATGATCCATTATATTTACATGACAGGGCAGTCCAGCAACATGGTGCTCTGTCCTTGGCACACACACGGTCCTGCTGCCCGCCTTCTGCTCCCCAGATGAAGTCTGCATGTACTTCATCTGCCCACAGAGCTGGTCAGTGGAATTTCCCACTCCGGGTTGGAAGGAGCGGATTTGTCAGCTGACTTCCCTTTGCCTTATTTCCATAGGTTCAAACGCAGGATAAAGGATATTTACATTCTTTCAGCCTCCTTTATTTTTCCCATCTAGGGGGAGAAAGTTCTTCTTGGTTTGTTTTATTGTTTCTAATAGGAAATCAGAGGGCCCTGAGATCATAGAATTTTAGATGTTTGCTGCACTCCTCCCCTACAACGTCCAGGTAGAGACACTGGTGCAGGGGCCACCCCGACAGCTGAAGGGGGACCCACAACTCTACCGAACACTTTTCGTCTCAATGGCCATTTCTAATTTTGGAGGAGCAACGTTTGCAAATTGGGAGGTAACTTGGGTTTAACTGAAATTCCAAACAGGAAGAAAGTGACCTATATTCCCTCTAATTTTTAAAAGTTTTTCCTGACAACCATAACTGATAAGAGACTGTGCAAACCCCTTCAGATGTCAGGATTATAATCAAATAGTATTACATGAAAATTAGTATGACGTTTTAATGATGAGGATAATCTTATTGTAACACAGTAATTAGTTGTACACAGTCTGTGGTTCTCAAAAGTGACTATAATACTATCATCCGTATTACTACTAGTTTTATGAAAACACTACTCTCTTAAACTCAACCCAGTTTCTAATATTTTCCCCCTTTTGTAGTTTTTAATATTTATAAATAATACCTTTGTTAGTAGTTTCTTCCTAACACAGATATAGCCACACTGAAATAAAAGCCTGAATTCTGACCTTCCAGCAGCCTGCTCTCTGGGTCTTTCTTGCTGTTTATCCCCAGTGAATGTGAAGCATTGGAGCCGCAGATGCAAGTGTCTGCTGTCCATCCCTGGGTGTGGCAGGGGGAGAAGCAGAATCTCTACGCCCTGCAGATGGCTGGCTCTACCTCCTGGGCTTAGAGTTCAGAGATCAACCCTGGCAAGAGGTGGGAAAGGGAAGCCTCGCTGAGTCCCTGTGTTTGGAAGTCTTGGGATGAGTGTTGGTGTGGGACCTGGAGAAATACATCAACACTGTGGAAGGACCTGGGCTTGTGCAGAGTCCGTTGTTTCATAAGTGGTTTTTGCACGTGGACTACCTCCCGACACGGTCAAGGGCGCTGGGCACACTGTAGCGAGCTCACACAGCCCTGCTCTGGTGGACTTTATGATTTGAGGGTGCTTGGCCCTTGGGGCTTACTGGCGAGTCACCACCCAGTGCCCTTCCTCTCCTCCATTTCTTGGGGAAAGACCTTTAGCATGAAGACCCTGAAACATCTTCATTATTGGAGTTGGAGGGTTCTACGCAGAGAGTGCACAGGGCTTTCTGGAAGGCTGTCATGGGTAACTGCAATTTGTTGCAAGATATTCTCCCGCATGTGCTCCCCAGTATTTCCTGATCCCTGGGATCCCTGAGGCTAGGCTGGGGGTGGGACTGGGCTTTGTCAGAAGCTGAAGGAAGTGGCCCATCAACAGACAGAACCGGTTTGTCTGTAGACAGGAAGAACCAGATGACCTAACTCGGGGCAGAGAGCACTTCTGGGTGGGAAAAAGAGACGAGTAACTGAGGGCTGTGGGTGGAGTGATAAATCAATATAATATTCTTATTATCAGTTCAATTTAAAATATTTTATGCCATTTTCAGTCTGTATCACACAATGTGTTCCAGTTTTTGGTTCAGAAAATATGATCTATAAAGTCAGCTGGGAACAGGTGAGATATTTGCCAGCCTAGGAATCCTAATGGGGGCTGGGATGAGGTGGGCTAGGCAGGGTAAGGCGATTTTCCTAAGTCACTTGGGCTGCCCAGAGACCACACCATCCTGGACCCAATGTCAAATTGCAGTGATAATTCTGAAAGGCTCTTTTGATCATACTCTGCTGGGGAGAGGCTGGGGAGGGATTTCTAAGTTCGCATTATATATTAATTGGATGTTTTCTTCATTGCCTTCACCTTTCAGGGTGTAGGCAATGGCAGGGAGAAGGAGAGCTCAGATGTACTGGCACAGCATTCTTTTCCTATGTAACCTCATTAAACCCTCACAACAACCCTGCAAGGGAAGCAATATTCTCCTTTTTCAGCTGAGGACACTGAGCTCAAATTGGCTAAGGGTCTTCCGATGGTTGCATGACCAGTTATGGGTAGAGATGAGACTTGAGCCCATTTCCGCATACACAATAAAGCCCTGTTCCCTTTAATGCTCCCATCCCTGCCTCTCTGAGTCTGTTGTGGGCCTGTTTGGAGAGGAGGGGAGTGCTGGAAATGATCTTGCAGCCTCCGCCAGAAAGGTGAGGGTGGAGCCACAGAGAAGGCCAGCGCATTCCTCTCAGAGCATCCAAACGACAGGCTTATTCTGAGCCGGAAGTTAGGATTACTCCTGAGTTTTGCTTCCCCCTTGACCTCGGGTGGGTTGTTTGCATGTGGTCTGTCTGGTTTGGGTTTTAGATTTATTCTTGAATTTTTATTGCAGGACATAACTTGGCAAGATGAGCACTCTGCCCCTTTCTCCTGGGAAACAAGGGTAAGTTGGATTAAATTTAGATGTATTTGTACTTTTTAGAAAGAATTGAGGGATTATTTATTTTTCTTTTCACACTAAATGGACGTAGAAGGCAGCTGCCCACACTCCCAGGCCACAGTTGACATGCCATTGTGGAGGGAAAAGGAGAGGAGGAGGAGGAGGAGAGCCTGTTGGGAGTTAGGACGCTGCTGTGTGTGGTTTGGTGATGGAATGTAAAGCAGTAGTGAGTGCTGTCAGCAGCCCAGCGGTGCCCCATGATAGGGAATGTGAGGCAGCAACATCGGGCCTTGTTAGCCTGCACCTCCCCACACCAGCAATGAGCATCTCGGTGGCTCTATAAGACAAAGCTTTATGAGAATTGTGTGTTGCAATCTAGTGACATTAGCTGACTGAGTCTAACTCTCTTCTCCTGATCATTTATTTATTTATTTATTTATTTATTTTTACAGAGTTGCTTCAGAGCATCAGGTTGACTGATTTAAGTTTATTTCCCCCATGCGTTGCCCCGGTAGAACTGCATTAATAAGCAGCAAAATGACCAAAGGCAGGCGTCTATCACCCAAAGAAGAGCCAGGCATTTCGGAAGACTGGTGTAATCAGTGTGAGTGTGGGGAGGTGGCTGTGTGCCTTAGGCCAGGAGTCAGATCAGGGCTTCACCCCCTCATCTTTGAGGTGACTCTTCTGGGTTTTCCATGTGTCCTCCCAGTTGCCGATTGGGGCCCTCACCCCAGCAGCACCAGGTGGAGAGGGCAGGATGCTGCCCCCTGGGAAGCCTGTGGGGAGGGCAGGTCGGGGTAGGGGAAGCAGTAAGGGGGTCAGCCAGGGCCTAGTGCCCTCATATGGGGAACTGTGTCTTACAAGGAAGCATTTCACAAAGGCTCGGACAGACAGGCACAGCTAGCACACAGACACATCCAATAAATCGCCCTGAGTGAAGCTGGCTGACCTCAGGACATGGAGCTTTCCCAGGTGGAATCTATCCTCATGTTAGAGTGAAGAGGCGGTTTTGGGGAGTCACATGGCATTAATTCACTTGGCAAGCTGACATACTCTCTGTCTGCAGTGTAGCATTTACGTTGGATCCTAAACATCCCAGAAATACAGACAGACATCAGTGACCTTTGTGTCTTATTTTTATAGCCATTGCAGATTGATGGCCCAGGTCTGTGCAGAGGGCAGGGTGAGGGAGGATGGCCTAACTGGAAGCTGAGTCCCTCTGGGGGTTCTGGACACTGGCTAAAGGGCTGGCTGAAGTTGGGGTGGGGAGCAGAGAATACCAGGGAGCAGCCTGCAATTACAATAGCTCCTGAATCGGACCAGAATCCTGTGTCTGGTGGCACTGCAGAGGAGACTGTAGGTGGGTGGAGAGCACATCATTACCCTGGTATTCAGTCAGAGTCCTGGATACTCCTCTTATCTGTCTCCCAGAACGGGTGGCTGTGAGAAGCACTGATCCCATAGTGATGCCTGGGGGTCATATGTAAATAGGCACTCTACATGCTAGGAACCAACAGCCTTGAGTGCAGTGGCGCAGAAAGCGGCACCCATTTCTGTGTGCTGGGCCCTGCATTTGGTGATATCACAGCGATGGGTACACAGGGAAGTCAGAACAGTTCAAATGTCTCCACACCTAAGCCCATCAGGTGACCCATGAGAATATCTGCTCTCTTAAGAATTTACCTTGTTAAGTGTTCCTGAATCAGCTATTTGTGGGATGGGACATTACATCTATTATTAACTTGCAGCAAATGGCATTCTGGGACAAGGGCCTTGTGGTGCCTAGGGCGGCTGCTGATACACACACAGCTACTGGGTCTTTTGACTCCACAACAAGTAGAGCTAATACAGTCCGCCTTGGTCACACTTGTGCTGATGCCGATTGTCCACAGTGACCAGCTGGGCCACTTCTGAAGCCATTGTAAATTGAGAAGGCTAGCTGAAATCAAAGTCAGTGTATGCTGCCCTTTTTAACCTGTATCCTATTAGAGAAAAGCGTAGTCTTTGCAGCTTAGAGTTCTCAGTTCAATTCCATCTTTTAGGAGTACCAACTTATTTCACAAGCTGTGGTGGGTTCACGGTGTGTCCTTTCTTTTGGTGTGATCTCTGAAGGTCAGACTTAGTGTACAGCTCAGTGTTAGAACTTCTATAGGCAAAACAGAGCACCCCAGAGAGCAGAGGGAGCCCTGGTGGCTCAGTGGTTAAGAGCTTGGCTGCTAACCAAAGGTCAGCAGTTCGAATCCACTGGCCGCTCCTTGGAAGCCCTATGGGGCAGTTCTACTCTGTCCTGTAGGGTCATTATGAGTTGGAATCGACTCGACGGCAATGAGTTTGGTGGGTTAGAGAGCAGAGTAGCTTGTCCCTTCCGCTCCCTTCACTAGTCATGGATGAGTTTTAAAGAGCCAGGTGGAGGTGAGGGTGATCACCTTCAACAAGTGTCATCATAGAGGGAGTGCTGGGGAGAGGGTGCCACAGGCCAGTGTTGGGTTCTTCTCATGCTGCTGGTGTTCCAAGAGGAAAAAACCTAGTGCTTGGAATGCTCCAGCTAAGGGAGGTAGGGAACAGAGTGAATTCTTGGCATTCCCCAGCCAGTGGAGGAGGATGCCTGGGAGACTCTTGGGTCCCCTGCCCGACCTTGCACTCCACCCCCAGCTGTCTGGCTTTTCCTCTCTGTCTCCTTCACTGCTGTTGAGCTGCCTGCTGTGGGATAGCAAGTAGCTGGATGGGGATCAGAGCCTTGAGTACTTGGGCGTTCAGAGATCTCTGAGGACTGGTGCAGATCATTCCCAAGGCAGGGGAGCCCTCTAGCCCCTTCTTAAGGGGAGGAATGAGCACAGGCATCTCCGTGTGCTGTACCCACCACTGTAGGCATCTGCGTACATTATGAATTCTCTGACACTGCCCCTGTGAGGCAGGTGTTATTATTACAGGTCGACCTGTTACAGGTCAGGTGACTGGCAGTCAGGGATGCCGTGGCCCGTTGACTGGGTGAGCTGAGATTGGCGCTCAGGGCTGTTGGTGGCGCACAGGGGTCATTCCATCAGGGGGTTCAGTTCGTAGAGGATCTATTCCCTTGGTCATAAGGTTCCTGAGAAGCAAGGGTCCTCCTCACCCCCTCCCCGACCCCACATCTCTCCACCCTGTAGTCCTGCACTGTTACTGCCCTGTCCTGGTCCAGGGGTGCAGTCACTCTGTCGTCTCACTGCTCTGGGCTCCGGACTCCCCCTCCCCTCCTCCCATTGTGCTGCCCCAGCTCACTTCCTGAGACCCAGAGTTGACTCTTATGGCCCCCTGCTGCTCTGTCCATGTGTGTGGAAGATCTTTGCCAACTTCTTCACCAGCCATCTTTCCCGCCGCCCCATAGTTCCCACAGGCGTCTCCAGGTACTCACAGCTTCTCTTTTGCCTGCCTCCAGGGGCCATGCTGTCACTTCCCTCAGTTCCCCACTGGAAAGCCTTCCACCTCCCCTTTCCCACGTCCACCCCCCCTTCCCCACATCTGTCTGTGACAGCCCACCTGCCCTCAAGACCCAGTGCAGACCTGTGACTAATGATTGTCCCCGACAACATAACCTCTGACACAGCTTACCACACTCCGGGGCTGTGCTGAGCACCTTGGGTAGTTTCCTCACTTGATCCTCACAACAGCCTCATTTTACAGATGAGGAAACCTCAGCATGAGCAGCTAGGGAGGGATTTGAGCGCAGACAGACTCGACTCCCTAGCCCAGGCTGGTAACCCTGCGCTGCAGCTTCCAACATTGCTCCCTGCTGCAGGCATTCCCTCTTCTGTGTTACCACTGAGAAAGCTAGTATCCTGTTAATTAGTTGCTGCCATGTCCCTGCCCCTATTAGAGGACAAGCCCCTGGAGGGCTGAGACTATATATTTATCCCTTAAATTCTTTACAACCACAGGGCCTAGCATGGTCCCTTACGTGCCCTTCACGGATGTCTGGTCTGAATTGAGTTGTCCCCCAGGGACGCAGCCCCGTGGAGGCTGGATAGATGGGGTCAGTGTGGACTGGTGTCCGCCTGGCCTGTGAGCCTGTCTGTGCAGAGTGCCTCAGGACCCAAAGTCCACTCAGACCTGCCCCTCCGCAGTTCGCCTAAGGCCATGTGGGGCAGCACTCTGAGACCCCCGGCTCTAGTGGCCTCTCCTACTCTCTTTCCTGCCAGGTCCTCACTTCGGCTAATTTTGTGTTTCTGAAGGTTTTTAGTTTTTTCCCCTCTTTCTCCCCCTTCTTTGGAGGGTGAAGTGGGGAGAAGAGATTTAAATGGTTTGTGAATTTATTAGGATTTGCTCCAGTAAACGGTTTTCTCACGCTGTTTCTGCAGCCTTTGTTTCAACAATTTTGATGTGCCGCAGGCTGCCAAGCCAAACAATTAGTGTTGGCTGCATGCATCCCCCGCTTTGCTGAAATATTACACATTCCTCTCCGGTGACAAGGACGCAAAAATAGACACTGGGTTCAGTCGTGGCCATTCTGTTTTTAGAGCAGACATGGCCAGCTAAGACCCAGTTCCCCACATGGGGCGGCTGGCACCCGTGTCCTAGCCTGACTAGACTGGGTCCTCTGAACAGGTCTTCCCGGGGTCCATCCGGAGCTCTGGGGACATCGAGGTGGGGCTCCGCTTGGCTGCCAGGGGAGAGTGGCTCCTTACTTACCCTCTCAGCACCCTGTTGCAAGTCTTGTATAAGACCCCCGGGCTGGACCTCCCCTGCTTGACTCTTGCCTGTACCCAGTGTGGGTGTGGGAGAGTCTACTTAGCCATCACCCTTGCCCCTCCTTCGTGCCGTTTCCCTCTGCTGGTGCTGCTCAGCGCTGTGGAAGTGGGGCTGGTGTTCCCACCCTTCCCAAGACCCAGGAGCCCAGCTCTTCCACCACATCTAGGAAATGGACTTTTCCCAGAAATAAAAAAACTCTATGTGGAATTTCATTTTTTCCTGATTGTACCCTGCCTCCTCACAGGTCCGGTGCCTGCTCTCACCCCAGCTAAAGAGTG